AGGAACTTCTGTTGTAGGAGCTTCTGTTGTAGGAGCTTCTGTTGTAGGAGCTTCTGTTGTAGGAGCTTCTGTTGTAGGAGCTTCTGTTGTAGGAGCTTCTGTTGTAGGAGCTTCTGCTGAAAAATCGACATACTCTATGGTGCACCCGTCTTTGTTCAATGTACATGTTTGCTCGCACGTCTCTGCCTCACTCGAACACTGCAGTGCACAGTTGCCTCTGGTACATCTCTGTTCACATGCGGTTCCGTGGCATTCCAGACCGCATCCTCCACCGGTACAGCTCTGATCACAAGTGTCAGCCTTACAGATGACTGAAGCGCAGTCACCACTGGTACAGCTGAATTCACATTTTGTGGGGGCCTCACATGTCAGGTCACAATTTCCACCTCAGCGAACGCAATAATTGATTTAGTAAAGCTGAAATATTTGTGCATAACATAATTTACACTACACCACTAATCTATCACTGATATGTACAAAAACACACTAGGATCATATTCAAATATCAGAACATTTCGAAAACCACTAGCAAAATGTTCCGTGGTATTTTTAATTAGAATACGGTCTAATATTTCATGAAAAGGTTGATTTACTAGGCTCAAGTTTTTGTTCCTCTCCGAGATCAGAGTAGGAGCGCGGGCTGGTTCCCCGAACAGCGGCTGGAAATCGAGCCTGCTGTTTTATTTGAATGATGTAACTTTGCAAACTTCTAATATAACTTGATATTGATATTATCACATATGAAACTAGTAAAATGTCCTAGCTCACCGAGAGTGTTCTGTAGCTCAGTGCATAGAGAGAGCAAGCAGTATCTATATATGGGAAGTCCTGGATTCCACTCCTGTCGGGGACTCAGATTTTAGCCCAACAGCTCGTGAAAAAAACATTTCGTCTGTGTCTTTGTTATCATTGTAAGGTTTCTCATTGTGAGCAATTCTTGTAGGGAACTGCCTTCACGAATACAATGGACAAATTATTTACCTGGAATAACTAATATCAGATAAAAGAGTCTAATGTGGCTACCAAAAGGAGAGAAAAAACGCATTGGTGAATCTTACTTATGCAAATCTAGTTCACGCGAATGATATTCATCCGAGTCCAAGCATTTCAGTGAGTAGCCTCCTTCTATATTCAAGGGGAAGGCTTTGCCGGAGTCTGCTCAAATAAACTGCTTTAGTTACTTCCTCTCCCCCTCCCCACCGCAACGTAGTCCGACAAATAAAACAACTACAAAACGCATTTTGAAACTTACCTGTACAACTCTGTTCACACGAATGATATTCATCCGAGTTGAAACATTTCATCGAGCAGCCTCCTCTAGTGCAACTCTGGATACAAACGCCATCCTCCACGTAGTCACACTCAGTCGGCGTAGGGGCTTCTGTTGTAGGGGCCTCAGTCGTAGGGGCTTCTGTTGTGGGGACCTCAGTCGTAAGGGCTTCTGTTGTAGGGGCCTCAGTCGTAGGAGCTTCTGTTGTAGGGGCCTCAGTCGTAGGAGTTTCTGTTGTAGGGGCCTCAGTCGTAGGGCCTTCTGTTGTAGGGGCCTCAGTCGTAGGAGCCTCCGTTGTAGGGGCCTCAGTCGTAGGAGCTTCCGTTGTAGGGGCCTCAGTCGTAGGCGCTTCTGTTGTAG